GTCCGTGAGGGGGGGCACACCCCGAACACGCGTGCTGCCTCTTCGGACATGCCACCACACCATCCCGCATGTATGAGGGCCCGGTGCGATGCTCCGGTGGCATTGCTACCCCCAGTGCCCCCGTCCCGCCTAACCCTGTAGCGTTTGACCACGCGATCTAGCCCTTTGACTTTGCACGGACAGGCTTTGACCAGTGGACCTCCCCACCCGATTGTGTTAGGTCAGCCCATAGGAACACTCTGGAGCAACATCCGGGCCAGACCCACAGCAAAATCCCCTCCGTGTAGACCCGACGCGTCCGTTTCCCCGCTCCAGGTGCCGGCGGCGGCGCCGTTCGTGAGGGGGGGCACACCCCGGAGCCCCAAGACGGGCGTCTACGCATGCATGAACCCTTTCACATATGCATCGGGACCCGTGTGATGTTTCGGTGACATAGCTACACCCCGAATCCCCCCACCAACCAGAATTCCTTCCGTGTCGACCGTTTCCCCCCTCCGTGACACGGCGATAGCGATGTTCGTAACGGGGGGCAATCGATATACCATCAGGTATGTTTTTTTAGATAAGGCATAATTATCTTATACAAAAACAAAAACTAAAATAAAGTAAAAATAACAAAACAGAGTAAAAATAAAAAAAATAATTAAAATAAACGTATGCCGACGGCAAGGCCGTCGGCATATCTGTGCACACACGGAGGTTGTCCCACGGATCGATGACGTGGCATGGCACACGGATCGCTGACGTGGCAGAGGGGCCTATGCCGACGGCTTTGCCGTAGGCATACCTCTGCCACAGATATGCCGACGGCCGCCGTTACCGCCCGTCGGCGTAGGATCAATGTCGTCAAATGGTCAGCGCTGACCGGGCAGGTGGGCCCTGGCTATGCCGACGGCCTGTCCTATGCCGACGGGCCCCGTAGGCTTACCTCGGGCGGTCCCGACGGCCTTGTCTATGCCGACGGTCCCGTCGGCATAGATGAATGTATGCTGACGGCTTTTCTACGCCTACGGCCTTTCCTTGGCCGTCGGCATAGGTCCATAGATGCCGACGGGTGCCGTCGGCATAGATCTGGCCGTCGGCAACCCCAGTTTTTCTGGTAGTGTAACGTGTTGTAGGCTGTCCGCGTTATGCATATGTGTGGTGACATTTGTTGCTGTACAATGTAGTAGAAACAAGATCACTTGCTGCCAATAAATCAACAAGAAAACATCCATGGCGTGCAATCCTGAATTTGTGCAAGTTGCCACTGTTAGTAAAGAGTAATAAGCGCAGGGAAAGCAAAACATTAAAAGCTTTAAATCACCAAGTACTTAAGAGAATCCAGCACTGCATATGTTTATCTTACTAGTTGAATTCGGGAGGACTCTGATTGGAGTGTCCACAGTATGCTTCATCATGCTACCAAATTCAGCAATCTTGATGTGTCCATCAGATGTAAGGGGTAAACTTTCTGGCTGGCAGATGAAACAATGTGAATAAGTCATTGTTGCTGATGGCATTAACTCAAAGGAAAACATGAACTCCACTACAATTTACACACCTTCACATCCCGATGAGTTACGCCTAGGCTATACAAATACTCCTGTGTTCAGAAATGCGTCAACAACAGAAGACAAAAAAATCCAGTGTAATCTGAGATGGTAATCAGATCCAATGCTAGACCTACGATTTTGTCATCTCCGAGCATGCAGACGGGAGGGAATCGGCTCAATCAGAGACGGATGGGAAGGAGCTCGGCCAGCCTCGAGCAGAGGAAGGAGAGGGCGGCCGCATCTCGCCGAGGATGATGGGCACCCCCGCCGATGCAGAGGCCGCATCTCGTCGAGGACGGCAGGGAACGACGACGATGGGGCTGGATCCAGTAGGGGAGTGAGCAGCGGACGGTTGGGGAGGCCGTTGTGGTGGACTGGGATGGTGGTGGTGCGGCCTAGCCAACCATCGTCGTCGTGGCGCGACGAGGACCTTGGGGCCGTTGTGGTGGACTGGGATGGTGGTGGTGCGGCCTAGCCAACCATCGTCGTCGTGGCGCGACGAGGACCTTGGGGCCGTTGTGGTGGACTGGGATGGTGGTGGTGCGGCCTAGCCAACCATCGTCGTCGTGGCGCGACGAGGACCTCGGGGCAGAGGCACGCAGGGTGGTCCTCCCCTCCGCCGATCCGCCTGTGCAGCGTGGTGGCCGGCTAGTTGAGGGCTTCTGGCGGTCAGCTGGTGGTGGCTCCTAGTGGTCGGCGTTGAGGGGAGAGGCCAGCGAGCCCCCTCCGATCCAAATCCGTGAGGGATAGAGAAAGAGGTTGTCAGTCGGGTGGGCTGCCGCCTGCCGACCAGGTGGCACCCAGCCCACCCGACCAGGTGGCACCTGAAGTGGGACGCAGGAGCGCGGCTCCCAGCCGGCCGCTCGATCTCGCCAAACAGTGCGCGTGCACTTTTAAGATTTTAGGTTTTATTTTTGGGTTCTGATATACGGTTCACTTGCCATTTGGGTACAGGGCGGAGAAGAGCCCCGCACAGGTTAGGATTCAATGACAACTTCTTTTCTGTCTTTGTTGCCGCCGATCAATATTGTACATAGGCAAGAACAGCGAAGACGCATAGCCACAGGTTAGCAGGAACTGACTGGTGACTATGGTAGACAAGCACCAGCCAGCCACGCAAAGACAGGCGCAGTAGCTGGAGAACGCGGCACAGGCGCCATGCTTGTAATTCAAACGACAAAACAGCTCCAGCGTCCATGCATCTGTTAAGGGAGAAAGTAGGCGAGCACACACAAGTAGGTAGCTGCGATGAAGACGGCAGAGAAAGAGAATAGCAACAGGAATCCAACCACATTGTCTCATTTCATACGAAGCAAATAACACTCAGTAATAACACTACGACTCAACTCGACCTAAGGTCCAAAAACCTCACAGGGCAGATATGTTATGCTTGCTTTAGCTACGACACCATCACGGCAACGGAAAACTGTAGATATATTGTGCTGCTGCATTGTCCACCCACCGCCATCACCTGCCTCAGGAAGATTTCTGCAGTAAAACAAGTTCCAAAGTTAGGGCTGAGTCTTCGTAATCAAAAGGTCCAAGCCAGCAATAGACATGGATTGACTAGATGAAATGGAGACCAGGATTGAACATCACAACATAGCATCTAGACCAGCCAGATAGCTGAGCAGAAGCCAGTACCAGTGAGACCAGAACTAGACACAGAAACAGTCCCTAGTGTGGTATGACTTCCAGGAGAATGAATGGCCAGTACCATCACAGCTAGGCTAGGAGATTAGACGGGCAGAAGGAAAACTTACAGATTTTGTTGAAGGCAACAATGTCACAGCTCTGGATGTACTCGTTGGCTGGTTCAACGCAGAGATGGTCTTCAATAAGAGTGTCGACAGAGACGAGGTCATCAATGATGGTCATCATAATCTGGAGCTTCTTGATGCCATATCCAACTGGCATGAGCTTGGCTGCAAGGGACGGCAAACCCTCAACATTACAAAACACAAGTAATTGTGCAGACAAAAATAATATGTACCACCAAAATTTATAAGTAGAAAAAACATTCAAGAGTAGTGACATACAAGCACCCCACAGAAGGCCCTCCATCTTGATGCTTCGGACAGCTTCCTCCAGCTTGACCATGTCAGTCTCATCGTCCCATGGCTTAACATCAAGCAAAACTGATGACTTGCCAGCTGATAACAACAAAAGAACCAAGTTAGTACGAAATCTGAGCTTTGAAGTTTAAAAGCACTAACAGTAACTTAAACAATGTTTGTAAATAAAGTGCCAGATAGAGCCATCAATGAAACAATTAAGTACAGTGCAAAATAACATACATTCTTCACTAATACTCAGTTATGCATTTTGAGAGTACAAAATAATTGCTTCAGCCATACACTATTTAGAACTAATACATAGACATGCTTCACAATATAGTTCAATGCAAAACTATATAAATGAGACAATAAAATACAGAGAATGTAGGATAACATACATTCTTTCTTCTTGGTAGAAGCCTTAGCTTTGGCAGCACGCTCTTCAGCTGCCTTCTTCTCCTCTTCGGTTTCCTCTCCAAAAAGGTCAACATCGCTGTCATCGTCATCATCAGCTGCAGGAGCCTGCAGAGTACAGTATACATGATGTTATGCTTATGATACTGGAAGATCTAAAGCGCACAAACGCCCAATAAAAACCAGCACCTGAACCAGTTCAGCAGTTGGCACACTTGCAGAAGAAATGATAAAATTTATCTAAAGCAGAAGGGGTTATGGCTGTGTTACCTCAGCCACATCAGTAGTTGAGGTCTCAGGGACAACTGATGACAGAACCTTCACACCTTGACCAGGGGCAGTAACTCCACTGAATATGAACAGATTGTTTACATAAATTAGAATCACTTAGTGTTACAACAGGACTGTAAGGCTGTTGTGAATTAAATTTGAGTTCATACCTCAGCTTCAGGAGTGCATCAATGTGATTGTACCACCTTGCAACATTGGTGCAAGTTGATGGTGGAGCAACTGAGAATTCAGAATACACAGCCAAGTCATCCTTGGAAGCTTGGTATCTACAGAGTAAGTTTTACAGGGTAAGACTGATGCCACGAATACAACCATTATACTAAACAAGTATGGCATGAAAGTATGAAACACATACCCAGAGATGTAACTGCGAGACAGAAGGTAGCCATCAAGCTTTTTAAGGCCTGCCTCAGCGTTAACATTGAAGGTAGCCGCCATCTCGCCTCAAAAGGATGGAACAGATGATCTACTGGCAGAGAAGAGAGCTATATAAGAACAGTAGATTTTGGCACACAAACTGTGGAATTTAACTACGAAACCACAAGCCAGCTTAACACTAATGGCATCCTAATCCTATCTATGTTACAGGACCCACCATAACTCAGGAAGCAAACAAGCTAATGATTTTAAAGAACAAATAAGGGAGATTTGGAGAGAACTAGCTAATCAAATTGACATGCCAGAATAGCTGCATAATTAGGCAGAAGAGAAACAACTAAGAACAAACCAGTGAGATATCATACTGACAAAACAACATGCATCAACACTACACAACTGTGTTTGAGAACACATAAAAGCATAAATTTGGATGGCAAGCAATTGACATGGCACAGCAGGTATGCGGATAGATAACTGATTGACATAACATGATTATGTTACAGATAAATAGCACACAGGGAGGTGGCGCATTCAAAACAACTAGGTAGATACGGGTAAGAATAATGTAAACTGAAGCAACATAGGCCAAATCCATTTAGCTGGCTTTTGATAGGAGCACGTTCGCTGATTTACTATCAAAATTCACTGAGACAACAAATATGCAAGAATTTATTCTATTTCTCATCTTCTATTACAGATACTACGGATATCCACAAAACAAACACGATGTAGATGCCCTTTGCCGCAATTTATTCTTCCTGCCGCGATGTATATGGCACGCAATCCAATTTTACGAACAGAACACACGACGCATCGGATCTAAACCCCTAACAGCATCAATAACCAACAAAACATCCGTATCCAATAACCGAGATCTGCTGAAACACACGCCATCTAAGCAAATAGCTACAGCCCCTCCAGATCGAAGACCAAAACGTCACACACCCACAAGATACTTAAAGAGCGAAACTAAAATCACGCGATTCACCGCGAAAAGATCGAAGATGTAGCCTAGAACTGAAGATCGAGAACAGCTAAGAGCGGATCTACGCAACGGGGAGAAGGGGAGCCGTCGGTGAGGATGGGGTGGTTACCTCGAGGGAGCGAGTCGAGGTGTGGCCGCGGGGAGGCGAGGAGGAGGAGGAGGACGACGGCGCAGGAGGGGGGCGGATTCGAGAGGGTTTGGGGCCTTAAAACGGGGGGATGGGTGGTGGCGTGCCTGCGGTTTGATCTGCATCTCACGGTGGCCGTTTGCTTCGGGGCAGTTTTGCCCTAGATCTGCGTCTGGTGTGTGGGCCTGCTAGGCTGTCTTGGTGCGAACCCGACCTGGCCGGCCCGAGATCAGGCCCAGTTTGACGCATGATTAGTTAATATATAGGTCCACCTCAAAAAAAAGTTAATATAGAGGTTCCCCTAAAAAAAGGTTAATATTTAGATATATTATAAAACTGAGCACTAATCCTGCCCTCTCAGGTCATTAGACTCTAGAGCCGTCCATCCTCGCGATTTGACGTACATGGCCGTCCGATTCACATGAAAGTTCTGTTAGCGCGGCGTAGGCCAAATCTGGCGTGGATGTCCTAAAAGGGCCGCTACTCTCGTAGCATTTTTGGAGGCCCGTCGTTCATCCGGCGTGGGACTACGAATGGGTCGTTTGTGGGTGTCGCCCTCAACTCAGTCCACCAGACGGATCACTCCACGCTCCTCCCTCCCGACCTCGAAGTGTGTCGCCGCCGTTACAAGAGTATCTCTGGCACCACTGCGCCGCGAGGAGCCATAGCATGTCTTTCGCTACTTTCTTCCCTCCCCTGTCCTCCTCGCCTCACAGCGGCACCTTCATCCCACCACACGCGCTTCTGTTTTCAATGTCTTTGGCTCTGAGCGAAACATCTGAACTGCTCTGCTCCTCCATGACTCTTGTCGCGTGCCCTGCCGCTCCTATTCCGGTTATAAGCTCTACCCGGACATAATCGTCCTCCATACAACATGCTTAAGATTAAGGGTTCTGTCTCTGCATCGCCTCCCTAATTTGTAGTTTCACATGCCCAGTTTGTTTCCATCTTCTGATCAGTGTCGAAGGGCCCGTTCAGTGTCACTCCGCTTTAGGAACGGACGGAGCTGTAGTTCAAAATCTTGCAGCGAGCAAGCAGCCACTCCGCAGATTCTAGGAGCTGGCGGATTGCTGTGTCCGAAATATATGCTTAAGAATAAGGCTTCTGTCCGTGCAGCATGTTGTGATGCATCATGGCTAAGAATCAAATACAAACCAATAGTTCATATTTTGCTAATCATCAGGTCAGTAATAGTTTCTTTAGTTGATTTAATGCTATTATGTGAAGCTTTACATTTCCTCATAGTCACTGTTTATTCACTGTGTAGTCTTACATAAAAATTTCTGCTCTTACCCTCTTTGGTCACCTGATTGTAGTTTCAGTGAGTTATGTATAATAATTTTGATCTGCCCAACAGGGCATGCTCCTGAATCGCTACATCTTTGACATAGTTGAGGCCTTGAGGGGCTATAGTCAATAGGGCTGGTAAAGTATGTTCACTTGTTGGACGTTGTCCATTTGGTGCAGATGGATGCCAACCAACACTGACTATGAGACCATCTAGAAGTGGTGCAGATCGGGAATTCAGGATACTACACTACAGCGTCGACATATTGTATGCTCGTTTCCAAAGGCTTGAATCTTATATATCTTGAGTTCTCTCATTTCTCAATCAACATGCATTTGTTCATCAATCATCATCTCTTCTTGCTTATATATACGCAGGGAAAGAAGGAATGGAGGGCTATACTGTTGTTGTGCTAATGTATTTTTCAGGCGTGTGTGATTAGATTTAATAGTTGTAGTAGTCGACCAAGCAAACAATAAATAATTGGTACGCCCAATTCAGTTAATTTTTGCAGAAATTATTCTACACTTGCATGAAAAAACAACTTACTATACAAATTGAAATAGCTTCCTTTTCATGCGATGCATGTTGTTACAAAGAAAAAGACCAATACATATGCAATGGATGTGACTTCCATATATCACACTCCCACTAGACATTCTATTTTTTTTCTGGTTTCTATGAAAAGCACAAAAATATTTAAATATGTAAGTTAAAGCTTTATTTTATTATTAACGTTGGACAATTATGGCTTCATGGAGTAATTCCTACAACTTATTTTGAAGTTCTCTGGATGTATTATTATATCCAACACAATTGAGTATTCCCATTTTGTGGAAACCAAAACTGAATTATCAACTTTGCACATATAAAGTAGATATGATACGTACTAATGTTTGTAACTTTAAATGTACTTTAGTTAAATTTACTTCACATGTAGTTACATTTTGTATTCACTTTGCAGTTTAAAATAGGTATCGTCTCATCGTCAACTATTTTATTCAACTTCGCCCTTGCTACCCCCATGCTCTCCCAACCTAGGAAAATCCTTGTTGTGATGCTGCCACGGCTATTGAGGAAGATGATGGAGGTGGTGAGGGCGAGAAGAAAGTACAAGAGGAAGGGTGAGGACCAGGGAGCAACATGGTCCCACTGCTCCTACCATGGGATTTAGCTTTGTGAAATTGGTGAAAAGGTTAATAAAACTGGGACCATTGCTCATCTTATTTATTTTGCATGGTTTTCACTCTAAATTTTAAGTCTTTTCTTTTTGTTGGTTGTTTATAAACTTTCATTTATAACTTTTTTAGAAATTGTGTGTGTTGTTGCAGAAGGGAAGTATTTTTCTCCTTGGGAGGCATTCTGATCGACGGTCAGATGGATTTGTCTACTCTCTGCTTGATCACAAATGTAGGCTTGCTCAATCCTTTTCTTTACTTACCTTTACATTATATATGATGATGATGTTGACAATGAGAACTAATCAAGCTTAAAAAACAACAACATATTCTTCTAATATGGATAAAATTAATTTCTATGTTTGTATCTCAATATATTTGCCAAAATACCTATCATTAATTATAAAAATGGACGGGTGCGGCAACGCGCGCCATCATGGTCTAGTAGAGGTTAGGGGAGCCTCTCCATTCAAAACTGGGCAAGTACCCTCTCAATTAGGGTTTCTCTCCTCCAGCGACTATGCCGTAGTTGAGTGGCGGCACAAAGGTTGTGGAGGAGCAACTCCACCTTGTTCTTTTTTTAGGTGAACCAGGGATTTAAACATAAAAGAAGCCTAGCCGACCCTCCTCCTCAGAGCTCCCCGAATCAGGATGTTCCTGGCCGTTCAATCGCGTTGAATCTGGTCAACCGGGCAGCCAGGTCTGTCGGATCCTTACCGCTGATTTGACCTTGCGGTTGATTTTTGAGGTCCATGACTGGTGGGCTCGGGGTCCCTTTCGATTGGCTAGGTGAAACTTTACTGGGTGAAACTGCCCTTTCCCCACTCGCCTCGTGCGCCTCGCTCATTTGCTGGCACGCTTCGGCCCTCACAGCGCAAACCTAGCTCTCTTTCCCCTCACCCCCACAGCGCAGTGAATCACCACTCCCTCCTCCTTCATTAGCCACCGTCGGGTCTTCTCGCTGGGGTGGAAGAGTAGGGGATCCGGCCGGATCCGAGGTGTGCGGGCTGTAACGCCCCGGATTCGATGCGCCAGGTGTCTGCCAGTTATTCGCCGTTGTTGCCATGTCATTTGCTTGCGTGTTGTATTTCAGCATGTTATCATATGCATCTCATTTTGCATACGTGTTCGTCTCATGCATCCGAGCATTTTCTCCGTTGTCCATTTTGCAATCCGGCGCTCCTATGTCATCTGGCGTCCCCTTCTCGCCTCTCTTCGCGAGTGGGTGTTAAACATTCTCGGAATGGACCGAGTCTTGCCAAGCGGCCTTGGTATAGCACCGGTAGACCGCCTGTCACGTTTCGTGCCATTTGGAGGTCGTTTGATACTCCAACGGTTAACCGGGTAACCGTAAAAGCCCTCTGTGTGTTGCAACCCAACACCCCTTCCTAAGTGGCCCAAAACCCATCTAACTCCCCTCCATGCTCTCGGTCGTTCGATCACGATCGCATGGCCAAAAACCGCTCCTCATTTGGACTCTTC